ATTATTTGCTCAGCGCTGCACTTTTATACCATGATATTAGTTTGCACTGACAAGGGGCAGGATTGCTTTCTAATTAATGGTAGATTTCAGCTGGTGTTTTGGCTTTCTATGCCTTTTTGCACCTTTCTTTGTTCATGCATTCAATACTTTTTCCCTATGTCATTCCATTTTATTACATATAACTTAATTTCTGAACTTATTTGTTTTTGGTTTCTTTGTATGTATGGATTGCATGGGTTGTTACCAACATCTGGTGAAAATATGTTAATAGCACCTTTTAGTACCTGGTCATACCAGTGCGAATTGCAAATTGAAATTGCACCTGAAATTGCATCAAATGAATATGTCAAGTGTCTTAACATGTGCAATTTGCTGCAGCTCTATTTCTAAAGTAGTTATTACATTGCTTTTTCTGCAGTTATGGTGTGATTTCACATAGAATATAATGGAAATCGCACTGAAATTGCACACTGAAATCATGCTGAAATTGCACAGAAATCATGTGATTTTTAAATTGCAGTGGTGTGACCAGTGACTTTAGAAATCTATTTCCTAAGAAAAATGGTGATGTGTTCAATACTTATTTTACCCACTGTATACCATAGTTTGTGGATGCTATAACTTACCTACAGACTAAATAAAATACACTGATTTTGGGTTATTTTTCACCAAAGAAAAGTAGCAGAATACATTTTGACCTAAATTTTATGACTAAAGGTTTTTTATTTGTAAAATTGTAAACCGAAACAGAGAAACACTGTTTTTTTTTTTGTTTGTTTGTTTTTTTTTTTTTTTTTTTTTTTTTTAAAATTTTGGTCATTTTTTTGTTTAGCAATAAAAACCCAGTGGTGATCAGATACCACCAAAAAAAAGCTCTATTTGCATGAACAAAACGATAAAAATTTTAGTTTGGGTACAGTATTGCATGAGTTGTCATTCAAAGTCCTGAAAGCTGAAAATTGACCTGGGCAGGAAGGGGGTAAAAGTGCTCTGTATTGAAGTGGTTAATATGTTCTTATAGCCAATGTCTTGTATTATGGAACACGGTTTAGTGAAGTTGGCTCTCTTGCAATGTAGTATTTGTCTTAACCTCATGTCTCCTTTTTCCTATTGATTTTGATTTGCATTGACTGTAATTACCATTTGATCGCTGTTTCCTATGTTATCCCTTACTGCCACATCTACAATCAGATCTGTGCTTGTAATTAGTAGGTCTAGCAGAGCACTATTTTTAGTTTGGGCATCCAGCAATTGACACATGAATTGTCATGCAAGAAATGATAAGTCTTAGATGAGTGAGCAGTTAGTTTGCCCAGTCAGTATCTGGATAAATGAAGTCCCCAATGATTACAACATTGCCATGCCTTGCCTTCACTTCTAACTGTGAAAGGAGGTTGGTCTCCTCTTCATCATTCAGGTTAGGGGACCTGTAGCATACTCCCACTATTAATTTCACATTTGTTTTTTCCTTGGAAGCTCCACCTCCTCCCTTGCCCCGTTAGCAATGCCATCCCTTGTAGTCACTAGCAAATCACTCTTGACATAAAGGCCCACTCCTCCCCCTCTTCTGCCTACCCTATCCCTCCAATACAGGGAGTACCACTGGACAGTCACGTGAGCTGTCAACCAGGTTCCTGATACTCCCACAGAGTCAAAATGCTTCTCATTTATCAACAGTTCCAGTTCTTCCATTTTATTGGCAAAACTTCTAGCATTGTGTACATATCTTTGAAAAAAACAAAAACAAACAGCTATACTCACCCAGGTAAGAAAAGAATGAAAAAATCCTCCTGCGCTGATATGGAAATAAACCCTACTTAATAGAGGCCAACACCCTATAGGGATAACCAATCAACCAAATAAAAAGTAATATAGTAAATGGTGCAGCGCTAACTAATACAAATAACTAAACATAAATTATATAATATGTTAAAGTGCTATAAATGTGATAACACAAATAAAAGTGAACAACACTGGTATAAGGGTCACCTTGATGACCTAAATTGGTGATAAACACACAAAATATCCAATAAATAAACCCTGTGTTAAAGTGTCCTTATTCGTACTCAAAAAAAAACTATAAACCAAACACTTAAGTCCATAAATCACAAATATTGGTGTTCACAAAACCATGCAATATGTGATAAGTGATAGTTTTGTGCAAGTGCCAGCACACTTTAAATCCACTCCAGCTGCAGTGCCTCCTCACCTCCTATCCTTGATCCCAAAAGGGGCAAACAAGCATTCAGGATCACTCTGCATCCTTTACATCACCGGCTGATCACTCTCCAGAAAGCCAAGGATTATAAACGATCTCCTGTTCCTCCTCCAATACTTCTTCCTCTGCCCTTAATCAGGTGCTCTGTGGGGTGTATTACTCACAATACCAGTGAGTAATAAAAAAAGATCCTCCTTAGTGTAGTATTTAATGCAGTCTTTTTATTAAAAATGATTTAATAAAAAGACTGCATTAAATACTACACTATGGAGGATCTTTTTTTATTACTCACTGGTATTGTGAGTAATACACCCCACAGAGCACCTGATTAAGGGCAGAGGAAGAAGTATTGGAGGAGGAACAGGAGATCGTTTATAATCCTTGGCTTTCTGGAGAGTGATCAGCCGGTGATGTAAAGGATGCAGAGTGATCCTGAATGCTTGTTTGCCCTTTTGGGATCAAGGATAGGAGGTGAGGAGGCACTGCAGCTGGAGTGGATTTAAAGTGTGCTGGCACTTGCACGAAACTATCACTTATCACATATTGCATGGTTTTGTGAACACCAATATTTGTGATTTTATGGACTTAAGTGTTTGGTTTATAGTTTTTTTTTTGAGTACGAATAAGGACACTTTAACACGGGTTTATTTATTGGATATTTTGTGTGTTTATCACCAATTTAGGTCATCAAGGTAACCCTTACACCAGTGTTGTTCACTTTTATTTGTGTTCTCACATTTTATAGCACTTTAATATATTTATTATATAATTTGTTTAGTTATTTTGTATTAGTTAGCGCTGCACCATTTACTATATACTCACCGAGGTGGATGCAGCATCCTTCCATGTTGAATCAATCCCTTGCCACCTCTACATTGAGAACTGAGCGATCAAAGACTGCTGATTGCTCAGTCTTTGCCGGCTTTCTGCTCTGCCCCTTGAGAGCTCACTGGAGCATCAGGCTGTTGGGTGGGAGTGACTGGCTCAAGCTCTCAGCAGCTCACTGAGAGGCTGAGTCAGGTGTTGGTCCAGGTACCTGGGTTGATCCCAGCTTTAAAGTCAAAGTCTTTTTCTAGAGCCTGAACCGCCTTAGTGACTTCCGCTGACTGTCAGCTAAATATGGGTCACAGGAGTGCAGAACGAAGTGCACTCCTGTGACCCACAGGAGAAGTAGGGCCAAAAGAGCTTTGGCCTTTTTAAATTTTTTGTTCAAGCACATATTACCTTATTTTTCTCTCCATAAGACGCACCTGACCATAAGATGCGCCTAGGTTTTAGAGGAGAAAAACAAGAAAAAAAATATTCTGAACCAATGGACTGCAGACACGGTACAGGAAATGACCAGAGACTGCAGACACAGTACAGTGGATGACCAGAGCCTGCGGACGTAGTACAGGGGATGACCAGAGACTGCAGACACAGTACAGTGGATGACCAGAGCCTGCGGACGTAGTACAGGGGATGACCAGAGACTGCAGACACAGTACAGGGGATGACCAGAGACTGCAGACAGTACAGGGGATGACCAAGAGACTGCGGACCTTGAGGGAGGGGAGGTGGGTACCTGAATTTGACAAGTACCCGCTTCCACTTCCGCGGAGTTGTCCACAAACTATGGTACTGTATATATCTGAAAATCTATCAATCGTGTTGTACTGATGCCTTATCTCATTTCTTGAGGCCCAAAAAATGTCAGTACAGTAAAGACCCCTTTTTGGAAAGTAGATAGTCCCAGGTATTTTAGTAAGAGGCATGGCGAGGTTTTTTTTTTTTTTTTTTTTTTTAACATGCTGTCACCAGGGTAGTATAGCGTTATCTTATAACTGGTGTGGCAGTGATCAGGGACACTGGTGATAGTATGAAAAAATATATATCTTTTTTTTTTTTTTTTCTCAACACACTGTGACCTTCCCTCCAATCGGGGCCCTAGTTGTTGCTCTGTGAAGGCTTCCTGCTCCTAGATCTAAGAAGAAATCCATTTATCTTTGTGTTTATAGGACAATCTACAGAAGAGAAGACTGCAGATACACAGCTACAACTTATGTAAGAGGATTTGTTTAAAGGATAACTTCACTTTATGGACAAAATTAATAAATGCACATTTTTTTTGCAGGTAAAAAAAATGTGCATTTATTGTTTTTGTCCAACGGAGCCTGTGAAGCATTGCACCAGTGATCAGTAGATCACTGATGCCATGCAGGTCTCCTGCAGACCTGTCAGAATATCTGCTAGCCATATGGGATATACGGCCAAGCAGATTTTCTGACAAGAACGCTTGAATGAACTACCATATCGCTGCACAGCGATGTGGTAGTTCATTGAAAACTACAAGCCAACAGCTGCTAAGGCTGCCAGGACTTGAAGGCACCCATTCACAGAACTCTGTGAATCAGTTATGCGGCTACGTGGGCGTAGCCCCACACGGCCGGCCGTGCGCTGTTTTCAAACCTGACAGTACGGGGAGACTCCACGTACTATCTGTCAGAGGGAGGGAGGGGGGAGGTGTGGCTGGCACTGCTGCTGCTATGGGAAGGTGTTCCAAAGGCGAACTTATCCTTTAATATCTGTGTATCACCTAATGCTAGTCGCTTCACTAGGTTTATATAGGGGTTTACAACTGCTTTAAGGGATGGTTGAGTTTCTGAGTAAACCTAGAGGAAGCCGAGTTACTGTGTAAAATAAACTTTGCTTTAGATCATCGTAAAATTTTTTTTCCAGTATTTTTTACTGAGCTATTCTGTGATATATATACATTTTGTCTAATATGTTTCGTCTTTTTACAGGATTGAAATATACAGAATTCTTCATGGATATAGTTGACACATTCAACCATTTAATCCCATCTGAGCACTTGGATGATGCCCTGTTTCTAGGCTCTAACCTAGAAAGTGAAGGCTGTGACGAATTTGCCACCGGCCAACATGTCATAGAAGATTCCTTAAAGAACATGCTCAGTGATAAAGATCCTATGCTTGGATCTGCAAGCACCCAATTCTGTTTACCAGTTTTGGATAACGTAGAGCATAACTTTCAGATACCACCATCAACAGGTATGTTAATTCTTACACTACCTTTGCTCTTCAGCTATGTAGACAAAGTTGGCACAAGATGCAGCAAAGAAACACGAGACACTGAAACACAATTGTTGATCTTTTCAATAAGCAAAGACATTTGTTTGTCAAGTTTAAGTTACTGAGGGCAAAGTTAGCATTAAGTCTATGTACACAAAGGTGCTGCGATTCCATTAAAATGGAATTTAAATGTAAGTGCTTATCTATAATGTTGGGATACCTAGGCACTCACATATACAGAAGTACTCTGCTGATACTAATCAGAAATTATATGCTAAAAGAACATTTTTTACTGATTGTTCATGGCCCCAAATGCACACTGTTTGTATTTGGGGCTGTGCACTCGCACAGCTGTCAAATGGGAAGCAGCGGCTGCGTCTATGCAGCCGCTGCTTCCCAATTGACATGATTAAGAGTGCCTGCACAGGGATGCACAGAACACCTGTGCATCCCTGTTTGTGTAAATACATCTGTAGTACACCCGTGTGAAAGAGGCCTAATACTTGTGCATGTAAAACTTACAATAATAGAACACTGGCATTTCAGAACCCTAATTAGATTATATTGAATATACAAGGGATCTTCAAAAAGTTCTGCACTTTTATATTTTCGATGGAAATGGTGAGGGCTGGAGGAGTATTAATTCGTTGTGTCTGAGAGTGCCATGTGACTAGTCTGTCTGGCAAGCAGGCTAACCTTGCAATGTAGTATAAGAGTTGTCACGTTTTTGAAATTCCTAATAGAGTTAGAAAAAAGTGCAGAAACTTTTTGAAGAACCCTTGTATATATTGGCATTAAAACGTACCTTTCTTGTCATCATTTGTAGTGTGTCATAAGTGTTTGAAATTTTACTTTTGGCTCAGTGCAGATATCACTGCTGCATATCCATTAGATACCTGTGCTTGTGGTTGTCCCTCGGCCAGTCAAAAAAATACTGCCTGCGGGCTGCGAGTTATGTGAATAGCCAAGTTAAAAGGTGGGCCGAGAAACAAAACCAGCGCTGGTGGGGAAAAAGCAGTGATTGTGACAGTGACACAGAAGTACCATAAAAACTGTACTATCTGGAATAACGAACATGAACATTTTTCAAACAGTCTCCAAAATACCACCACAAAGTTAGATAAAGGCTATATGAAATACTGATTCATGGAAATTGTGCCCAAAGTTTTACTTCCAGGCCCCTTGTAGTGGGAATGTGCGTTCACACATGCATTTTTTTTGCACGTTTCTGTGGATTGCGAATGCAAATGCGTCAAAGAATGTCCAGAACCTTTTTGGGCACATAATGTTGTTCTCTTTTATTGCACATTTTGGAGTGTTTGTAGCACGTTTGTTGCACAAAAAAGTACACCCGCTAGCTGTGTTTGGTGTGCCATTAAGAATTGATGGCACCCAAACGTGCATTACACATTTTCCTTTTGATTTTTGATCTGCAGTTTGCTGAATCACATGATTCTGTCTGCAATTCCAATATGCTAAGGTGTGATTGGGGCCTGATAATTACTCCTGCTACTCATCCTACAGAATGCTGCTGTCTTCAAGAGAGGATTGCTGAAAATCTTCTGTGCCAGACTCTTTTGGTGCCTGCATTTGCTGCTTTGTTCTCTGGATTCATCTGCTGACCACTGTGTCACTACAGAACACAGTAGAGATTTAGGGGATGGGCAGAAAGAACCATAGAACACAGGATGACCAGGCATCCAATATACCCGGATTACAAAGGGTCTTTAAAAAGCATACCTGTTAAGTGGAGTTTGGTGGCAAGTTAGAGGTAAGTATTCATGCTTTTCATTGCAGATTGTTGTGGTGTTTTTTTTTTTTTTTTTTTTAACCTGTATTAGATAGTGACAAAGTGACTTTAAGGGATTAATCGTGCGCTGTGGAGCGCAATAGCTATATTGAAGTGCGATGAACATCTACAGACGTAAACTGTGCAGGTAGTGACCTTAATAATAATTAGATATGAATTAGCAAATAAGTCCCAATCTCTATATTGAGGTGAAATTCGTGACTCCGGTGATGTAAAAATGAGTGTAGATTGCACTAACCAGATAGCGCAAAGTTATGCGCATTTGAGTAATTAAACCACTCCTGGTCCTCTGGATAAGAAAAGATGAAAATCTAAGGATCATATGGCCATCCAAGCGAAAAAACAGGTGATCAAATGGACATCACTCTCCAGGTAGGTATCATGTACAAACACCAGGGGTCACCTCTCAATAATAGATGCGGAGCAGGACAAGAATCCACCTTGGGGGGGGGGGGCTCGCAATAAACCGAGCCCAAACAAAAAAATACTGATACTGTAGTATGTTTTATTAAGTGCCAAGCAAAGGTAAATCCAGGTAAAATCACTCACATTAATGTGACAGTAGTAAAAATGTCCGCCGGCCTACCACGTGGCCTGTGTGGCTTGACGTCACCACCCTGGCTCTTCCCGTGCCTGAGCACGTTCTCACGTTATCCCCTTTGATAACGTGCTCGGGCACGAAACGTGTTAGGGAGCAGCCAGGATGTTGACGTCATGCCGCACAGGCCACGTGTTAGGCCTGGCTGCCATTTTTACTATCACATTAATGTGAGTGATTTTACCTGGATTACCTTTGCTTGGCATTTATTAATAAAACATACTACACTATCAGCATTTTTTTTTTTGTGCTCAGTTTGAGAGCCCCCCCCCCCTTAAGGTGGATTCTTGTTCTGCTCCGCAGCCATTATTGAGAGGTGACCCCCTGGTGTTTGTACAGGATACCTGCTACCTGGAGAGTGATCCCCCTGCTGGATGGATGAGTGTTCCTGATCCCTGGAGAATGATGTCCATTTGATCACCTGTCTTTTTGCTTGGATGGCCAGATGATCCTTTGTCATCTTTTCTTATCCAGAGGACCAGGAGTGGTTTAATTACTCAAATTCGCATAACTTTGCGCTGGTTAGTGCAATCTACACTCATTTTTACATCACCGGAGTCACGAATTTCACCTCAATATAGAGATTGGGACTTATTTGCTAATTTATATTTAATTATTATCAAGGTCACTACCTGCACAGTTTACGTCTGTAGATGTTCATCGCACTTCAATATAGCTATAGCGCTGCACAGCGCACGATTTAATCTGATTTATATTTTATGTTTATTTTGTTCTCAGCGCTGCGTATGTTTATTGGATTTTATGAAGGTTGAGAGGTTTTTGCCTTTGTCAGCTGCCTTGTTTCCTGCTCTACCCAGCGCTCGTATACCTATTGATATGACTTTAAGGGATACTTCTACAGATTTGTCTCTATTCCTACCCTAAAACCTTTCCATTTTGGCAACTGCTTTTAACGATATGTAGATTTTGAGCTTTAGTTATAAGTAAACCGCTAAGCCCTAATCTCCATCTCTACCCACTCCTCCTTGCCTTTGATATTTGCAGAGAGCAGTAGCACCTGATGGTCACAGAAACCTTGCTTCACCTTCTCTATACTGTGCAAGAAGCAAAATCACAGCAGCTAATTGGGGGAACAATTGGACCTGGGTGACAGACTGGAACAGAGTTTTGGTTCACAGATTTTCTAGTTAGCCTTTCACATCTGTTCCCTCCTTATGTACCAGAGAAATTTTTACATTTCTGCTATGGACCTGTTTATTCGGCAACACATTTGTCATTAATAAAGCCAACAAGGTAATCCATACTATATACGGTGTATCCTTTTTTTTTTTTTTTTTTTTTCTTAAGGACAAACAAGGCTTTCTTTTTATGTTATTGTCTTCCAACAGCAACGTTTTTGTTCACAATCCTTTGACGATAAGGTGCAACAAAACTAAACAAAAAGCACCTTTTTTGAGCAGTGTTTAAAAATAAGTGCTGTTACTGCATATAAAATGTTCACATTTTATTCCGTAACTTGTCCTGTTTAAAATGACACTAAAATTATGATTTTGGTACAAAGCATACAGTGGGGAAAATCATTATTTGATCCCTTGCAGATTTTGTATGTTTGCCCACTTACAAAGAAATGAAGGGTCTATAATTTTTGTCAGAGGTGTATTTTAAATGATCGAGACAGAATGTCAGCCAAAAATCCAGAAAAAAACACATGGTACAAATTTTTTAAATTGAGTTGCAGTTTAGTGAGTAAAATAAGTATTTGATCCCCTACCAACCATCAAGAATTCTGGCTATGTGATCATGTGGTACACAGATTAGTCCTGTTAATTTAAGAAGGTGCTCCTAATGATAATACGTTATGTGTATAAAAAACACCTGTCCAAAGAATCTTTCTTCCATTCAAACCTCACCATCGGCAAGACCAAAGAGCTGTCAAAAGGACGTCGGGGACAAAATTATAGACCTGCATAAGGCTGGAATGGGCAATAAGACAATTAGCAAGAAGCCTGGTGAGAAGGAGAAAACTGTTGGAGCGATTATTTTGTAAATTAAAGAAATACAAAATAACCCTCAATTGCCCTCAGTCTGGAGCTCCATGCAAGATTTCGCCTCATGGGGTAAGGATGATCATGAGAAAAGTGAGGGTCAGCCCAGAACTACACAGGAGGAGTTTGTGAATGATCTCAAGGCAGTTGGGACCACAGTCCCCAAACAAACCAAACAAACCATACTCTGCCATGGTTGGAAATCCTGCAGCACCCGCAAGGTCCCCCTCCTCAAGAAGACACATGTACAGGCCTGTCTGACGTTTGACAGTGAACATCTAAATGATTCAGAGAAGGATTGGGAGAAAGTGCTGTGGTCACATGAGACCAAAATTGAGCTCTTTGGCATTAACTCGACTCGCCGTGTTTGGAGGAAGAAAATTGCTGACTATAACCATAAGAATACCATCCCTACAGTCTAGCTCGAAGGCGGAAGCATTATGCTTTTTGGCTGTTTCTCTGCTAAAGGTACTGGCTGACTTTGAGGGGCCAGTGGATGGAGCCATGTATTGTAAAATCTTGGATGAGAACCTTCTTCCCTCAGAACACTGAAAATGGATTGTGG